ACCAGGAGGGGCAGAGGACAGGCCTAGGTGCATGAGAATGGGGCTCCCAAACACTGGTGCAGGTAGTGTCTGTCCAACCCTGACCCAAGTGGCAGAAGGATTTGTGGGCATTTAACTTTAATGCAGAGAATGTGGTGCCTGCAGTTCCATGGTCCTGAAGCTGGACTCTGTTTGCAAGTGGAAGGTAGCAGGGTAGGTGAGGTGCAGATGCAGCTGCTCGTGTTGATCTAAGGCCAGAGAGGAACTGAGGGATGAGGGTGTGGAGTACGCTCCCTGCAGAACCCACGTCTTCTGGCTCCAGGAACCAAGTCAGCGCTTCCTTACCTGCAGTGCCCTGACGGAGCGCGAGGGTTTCTGGGGGAGGAGGCGGGAGAGGGAGGCGGCAGGCAAGGGCATTAGGGGAGCCAGGGGGCGGAGGTTCCCTGCCAGGCTCCTGCTACTTCGGAGGAACTCCTCTCAAAATAGCCCGGAGACCTGTCCATCCGGCATCTCCCTCTCTTCATCTCCCTTTCTCCCTTCACAGGATCTTGGGCTGCTCGCTGAGGACTGACAGGGAGGCAGCCTACCATCCACTTGTCCTGGTCACCTGTAGAAGGTGATCCTGCCCCGCGCTCTGTGAGGAGTGCCTTCCTGTGGAACAGCAGCTCTGAGGCTGGCTGCTGCAGGGCTCGGTCCCCATCACTGCCCACACTTTCTTCCTCTTACACTGGCTCTAGGCAGCCCCACCTGGAAATAGAGACCTGCTTTCCTTCATCAATACAACCCAGCCCCTTGGAGGGACCCAAGTGAGTGGGCTGCCCTGTTTCAGAGAAGATAGTTGTGCTAACTGCTTCAAAGAACCCCCCTTGGAGCTCCATGAAAGCAGTCTCTTCCCTCTTAAATCCAAGCCTCTCTGCCAGCCTGAGAGCCGACAGCTTTCTGATGCTCCTTGGCATGGCCTCAATCTATTTCTGCATCCTAAAAGCTTGCTTTTTGAGGTATTTCTGAGCCAGGGCACCTAGACCTGAGTGCATTACTGTATCCTCAGGAATCTGACTTGTCAGGCGTCGGCTGGGGGACTTGTCCCCAACACTACACCCACCCTTCCTGGAAGGCTTTTCAGCTGGCGGAGTGATAGGAGCCAAGCTAGTGGGATCCCTTCCTAGCCCCTGGAGACTAGGGGCTCCTGAGCTGTGGAGAAAGGGGCTGAACTCAGGAGAGCTCCTCAAGAGTTTCCCAAAGGTTCGAGAGAGGGACCTCGGATTCTTGTCACCCTCCTCCTCTGGAGGAGCCTCTCAGCTAGATCACTGGGCTAGGTTTCTGAGAATTTTTGAGAAAAGTGCTCTGTAAATGTAAAAATCCTCTAGCCACTAATGCATTTCCCAAGTGCTTTTTCTGTCCAGTGGCTTTGGAGCCCTCCTGGTGCTCTTTAGAGGAAACCTGGGGGAAAACCAAATATGGGAAAGATTTCACCTCTTTCTTTACCGGTAACTTTCTAGGTGACCTTGAGCCACATAGTCTACCTCTCTGGGCCAGCCTCTTTATCTGAGCCCTGGGGATTTCCTAAGCACCCTTCCAGCTCCGAGAAGCTGTGAGCAGGGAGACAGCAGGGGAGAGGGCACCAGAGGAAATTGCCCCCCCTTTCTGTACCAAGATCTAAAGATATCCCTGAGCTCCGTTGCCCTCCCGTCCCCTTTTGGGCAGGGGTCACTTTCCTTCCCTTTGGCTCGTCTCCTCTCTCACCTCAGCCTACTCCTCTGAGAAACATGACCCTGTTGTAAAAATAAAGCAGGCGGCTAGGAAGCCAGCCCTGTTAGTGTAGTATAGGGACCTCCTGGGGGAAGAAAAGGGCAAGCCTGCCCTCCCCAGGGTCAGGACTTCTGAGGCCACAGACCTCTTTGAGCTCAAATGTACTGTGCGTTCACCCTGTGCCTATCACTTTGCTAAGTACTTCTCCATGCAGTAGCATCTCATTCAACCTTCACAGCCAGATCTATTTCTGATGTTTGTGAAGTCTGGGCAAGGAGTAAAAATGAAAGTGGCATATAGGTCTAAATATAAGTTATAAATTGGGATAATAAATCGTCAAGTTGGTCTTTTGTCCTCTACCTTCGATTCATATTTTCCTTTGTGATGCCCTGGAAGACAAGATCTAAAATAGGGCTTTTTAGACTCTTCCCTGGTCTATTCTCTTTGGTCCTGCAGCCACAGAGGCTCTCATGCATAGTGGGCATGCTCCATCTGCACATCAAGTTCCATGCGTTCCCCACCACCTGCACATGGCTTTCCTTTGGCCACTTTCCAGGCCTCTGGGAACATGCCTGGTGTGGCCAGCTTTCAGAGGGTGGGTTTGGAAAAAGGCTGGCTCAGGGTATTTGCATAGGAAACTCCAGGGTCCCAGACCTCAGGTACAGTCTACAGGGGGAGGAATTGCATACCCTGCATTACCCTGCATTGCATACGTCCTACGGATGCAATGCATACCCTGCATTGCATACGTCCTACGGATGCACTGTCCAGGGAGGAGAGGCATGGCCAGAGCAGGGTCAGCAAGAGAACTGCTAAAATCTGGAAGGCAGGGCTGAGGGTAATATGTGCAATGCAATCAAAAACTATGGTAAATGTTTAAAATTTTAAAGTATAGTAAAAGAGACATTGCTATTGATCCTCCTCAAAATACACCCCCTTGCTCCAAATGCACTTATCTAATTGTTCTTGCCATTTTCGGAAGTGGTTCTGGAAGTCCTCTTGTAAGCATCTTCAGTTGCACTGTAATGGCTGTCTCAGTGTCCCAAACAGATTCAAAACACTTGCTTTCATGGTCATTTTGACTTGGGGGAGAACCAAAAGTCACAGGATATCAGACCCAGTTACTAAAGTGGATGAAAACATACCATTTTTTTTCAAACCCGCCTTTCCACTGGGTGACACTTAGCAGCATTATTCACAGTATTTTTTAAATCAGACTTCATAATGACACTCATGAAAAAGCACTTCCAGAGCTGCTTCAGAAAGTGGCAAAAGCACTGGGATATGTGTTCAAAGCGATGAGGGGAATATTTTGATGGGGATTAATGGCAATATGTCTTTTACTATATTACATTTTTATTTAAACACATATTACTTTTTTTTTTTTTTTTTTTCTGGTACCAGGAATTGAACTCATGACCTCGAGCTTGCGAGGCAGGCGCTGTGCCACTGAGCTAAATCCCCAGCCCCCACATATTACTTTTTGATCATCTCTTGTGATAGTTAACTGATTGTGTCAACTTGAGTAAGAAATACCCAAGTAAATTGGATCAGCATAGTTCTGAGTGTGGGTGAGGGGATTTACTGAAGACTGAAGACCCACACTAGGGTAGCGTGTTGCTGAATGGTACTAAAGAGAAATGAAGAAGGAAGGATTGTTTCTGTTTCTTTGGAGGCGCTCCAGTCTTCACCGTCACCTTGGACATGAAGTTCAGTCTCCAGCACAGACCCTTTGGCCTCCTGATATGGACTCATATGGGACACTACAGTGAGCTCCAGGCCTTTGGCTGGATCCTTCAGATCTCCAGCGTGCAGAAGACATTTTGCACTCTTCCACATCTGACTCCACTGTAAGCCACTCTTATACATTTTTATATGTTTGTTATATCTTGATTAAATTTGTTTCCCTAGTAAGCACAGACTGATACATACCTTGTATTGCTCTCGACAGTCTTATGAGGTGAATATCATGCATTGTCCACCACCTGGCAGGTGAAGAGCAGAGACTTCTCAAGCAGGTTGTGTGACCTGCCCAGGGTTCTACAGCTACTACAAATAATGGGGCACTAGAGCCTCTTTTCAGCTCCAGCAACGATACAGAAGAAGGTGGCAAGACTCTGTCCAACATTGCACAGGCCTTCTCATTTTGCCTACATCTCAGGGGTTCCAGAAGGCTCAGCCCATGGACCCAGGTTGAGAAGGTGGGTGAGCCAGAGTGGTGGCCTGCCTGCGGTGGGCCAGATCGGGAAGCAGGTGCGATTTCCAAGCTGGAGCGGTTCTCCGGACTGCAAAGAGGATCTGTACTGGAAGGAGGCCTGGATGCCAGGCAGCGGTGCTAATGAGGACCCCCACGGTATTTACTGAACCCCACCTCACAGGTGCTCTTTGAGGTGGTTGCTCTAACTCAGGACTGTCTGGGAAAAGGCTTCTTGGTTCCCTCTGACCTGGTCGTGATCTGGTCTTCTTCACCCCACTTCAAAAGGGAGGCCGAGGAAGTTTCTGCCGGTGGGTTCCAAGCTTTTTTTGGGGGGGGGTATACATGATTACAGAGGGTGGCCTAGGTTGGGAGGGGGTAGGAGGTGGAGAGCTGTGGGGTGTGTGTGTGAAATGGAGCGCAGGCCACACACCACCAGATGCGGATGGATTAGCACCTAGCCAACTCCCACACCAGGACAAGAGTGTGTGAAGCAGTCGCGGAGCGTGGTGGGAGACGGGCAGGGGTGATTCGCCCTGGGAAGCCCAGTTTTCTGAGCCCAAAGCAACCCGCGGAGCCGAGGAGCCGCGCGGCCCTAGGCTGCGGGCACAGGGGGCGAGCGAACCGGCAACACGCCCACCGGCTGCCGTAGCGCCGCTGCGGACCTGGCCCTGAAGGCGGAGCAGCTACCGCTCCCGTGTTCCCTAGGCAAAAACAAACAAACAAACAAACAAAAAAAACAACAGTCTTCCAACATCCAAAAAGCTCCACCTCTGCTCCCCTCTAAACTGTGCTCCCAACCGGCCGCTGCGCTGAGCTTGGGATGCTGCGGGCGGCTGTGGGCCAGCCCTGCGGCGCTAGCCCGCAGCAGCCCGGTCGACTGGAGAGGGCGCGGGGAGTCTGCGCCGGGCCGGGGGCTCCGGGACCTCCAGGCGGGCCGGCCTGGCCCCGCGGCTGCCGCCGCCCCTCCTGCGGCTGGAGCGCTTCCAGGGCAGAGGCGCAGCCTCCTCGCCGCGGCGCTCGCGTCGCCTCCCTCCCGGCTCGGCTCCTCCTCCTCCTCCTCCTCCTCCAGCCCGGCTCCCGCCCCTCGCCCTCCGCCCGCTCTCTCCGCGCTAACTTTCCGGAGCCCCGACCCGCGGCGCAGAGCTCCCGGCAGCTGCGGGGCCCGTTCCCGACCTCTGGCGGAGAGAGCGGCGGTGCCCAGTACCCCATCCCCGAGCTCCGCAGAGAACAGGACGATGTCCGGGGCTGGGGACCGAGGCAAAGCCCTGGCGAGATGGCCGGGCACTGGGCTTTTGGGTAAGGCGGCCCCAGCTTGGTCCCTTCTCTCGCCTCTTCCTCCCCCACCTCCCCCCTAGAGGAGGGGGCACCTGAGAAGAGGGGTGCCGTGGACCGGGTGGGTGTTGGAGCACTGCACGGAATGAGCGCGGTGCCCACCTTCTTCCCGCCGGACGCCAGGCTCCGGCTGAGGCTGTGTTCCCCGGGGACCATGCGCGTCCCCTCACCCCAGCAGCCAGTCTTGAGATCAGTTTTTTTCTTTTTGCAGTCTCTGGCGCCTTGAGCTTCAGGCTCAGTTTGAAGCTGCAGTGGAGGTCTCCAGAGTTGCGAGTTGCCAGGCTCAGGCATGCTGGGGGAGGAGGTCTGTGCCTCGGGTTTAGGGGGTGCCAGGTGGGTTGCACGTGATTGTGAGGATGGTGGTTTCCACCCCTGCCCAGAGCGGTTTGCTTGTTTCGCAGGCATCGGACATGCACCAGCAGGAGATCCGGGGGCTCCTCGTCCTGCTGGGCCCTTTTGCCTTCTTAGCCCGCTGCCTTCCCCAGTGCCACTGCCCTGTCCCTGCAGCTCCACTCCAAATACTGCACCGGCTTGGGGGTCCACCCAGAAGCCAGCTTTTAGGAAGGGCCTTGTCTTTCTTCCCTTAGGGATCCCACAGGGAAAACCTGTTCAGCTTGTCCCTGCTCTTCTTTGGGGGGTGACTGTGAAGACTGAGGAGACCTATCCAGAGGACACGGAGGGAACAGAGTAGTATTAATATCTGTGAATATGCACATGGTAGTTTTGAGTGTCAAACTCAGAGAGATTAGGGAATGATACTGGTCCAGAAGGTAATGTCATAAATCATAGCCGGACTTCAACGTAAGCCGACTCCATCCCTGGCACCTGTGCCCCTTCCTGTTTATGTTTGTCAGATTTGGCTCTGGCAGTTTCCCCCACTGGGCACATGGGAGAGGTGTTTGTGCTGAGAGTAGGGGGATGGAGACCTCTGTGGGAAGCCACTGCTGCTTCTGCACCTGCGAACTGTGTGCAGACCTGTCCCGCGGGCACCTGGTAGTGCAGGGGGCTGAAGCATTGCTTTACTTCAAAGCCACTGTTTAGCCCTACAGCTAGGCGGAAGGCACTGCGTTTCTCCTGTCCCTTTGGCATAGATGTCCTGCAAGTTTCACAGTGACCTTAATGAAGTTGGCCTCTTAGGGCTGAGGCTCTTTTTCCTGGGATGGACATAGTACCGCTGCATAATGAATTCCCCACTATCGCCTCTCAGATCAGCCCTGGTCACCGCTGTGACCATGGCCAGGGAAGGGGTCCCTGAGGCACTGAAACTCGTCCAGTCATTAAACTACCCCACTTTATGCTGTGGGCTGCCTTGCCTCCTGTGCCGTGCTGGCTGTTGGGGTGCCAGGCTGTGGGCTGTTAGAATATTCATAGAACTAGTTTTTTTTGTGGAAGCCTGAGAACCGGGAACTACGTGTGTATGTGTGTGTGTGGGAGCGGGGCTCACTCTTGGTATGTTTGTCCAGGTGCATGCCCCTACCTCCCACAGGGACTGCTCCAGTGAGTAGATGGGAAGGGGCAGGGTCCCAGGGGGGTAGGTTTGGATTACTCCCTGAACTTGCCTCTGGGCGCCTAGGACAGAGCAGAATGACTAGAAGGTAGGAGGCCAGTGGTCCCCACAACCGCTCCCACCTCCCAGACCTACCCTTGTAGTCTGCAAAGGGACAACAATCACAGTTTCCCTTAGGGCTTTGCCCACAGAGACACTTATGAGCCTTCACAGAGGCACTTTTGAGCCTCTGGGTCCAGGGGGGAAGATGCAGAGAGGACTGGACGCCCGGCTGGGGCTCTCTGGGAGCATCAGAGTGGGCAGGGACTTTAGAACCATAGCACAGAGCTCTCCCAAGAGTGAGGAAGCCACGGTCCAGGCAGGGACAGTGGCTTGTTCATGGTTCCATGGTTAACTAACAGTCAAGTGGGATGGAACCTGGGCCTCGTAGGCTTTGTCCCACCGAGCTGCCGCCTTGTTTCCAGATGTCTGGTGAGGGGGAAGGTCAACAGGAATTATTATGCTTAGGGCTGGAGGATGAGGCTCTAGGGCACAGGAGGGAAGGATACAGTCTTTGTGGAGGGGCCCAGTGCTGCCATTTTCACAGCCGGGGAGACTGTAGCAGGAGCAGTAAATTCCCAGGAATCTTCTCCTCCTCTTGCCATGTCAAACTCAGTCTCACAGACTACAGTGAGTTCTGGTAACCTGACAAGATGCCATTTTCTTAAACTGAGAAGCGGTTCCCAAGGCCATATCACTGCAACTGAGCTTTATGGGGTTCCAGACTCTTCCTAAGCATGTAGAGCAATATATCTGTTGTGCCCACCCCTTCCTTGTTCGCTGATTTGCTTAATTGCTGTGATCTGTGTTTAATTATCACTTGTGAGGATGCTATGTTGCACAACCCTCCTTCCCTTGGTATGTATTTATTAAGAGCTTGTTTAATGAGAACACAATTAAAGAGAGGGTGTTCATTCCACTCAGGAAAAAAAAAATATGGCAAGGATAAGCCAGGAGTTCTTGGAAGGGTGGAGAGGAGAGAAGTAAAGAGGGGAAGGTTTCAGGTTTGGGTCTGGAAAGGATGGTTCTCTGTCCAAGACTGGAGGTGAGGCTGACAGGGAAGGCTGAGTCCCTTAGTCTTTATGGCTGGCCTGGCCAGCTCCTGGCGGGGTCCGCACTCCAGGTAGACTGTAGTCTTATTACCCCCGCCCCCCAATCCCATGGCAGGGCCCTTAGGGGATGTGGGGATATCCACGTGAGCCATGGGTGGGCTGGCCTAACACAAACCCTGGGCTCAGTGGCCTGTAAGGAGGGACAGGCACACTGCTTGGACTTGTTTGCAAAGCTGGTGTCACTGAGCACTGTCTCAGGGGCATGCTTCATCCCTGCAAAGCTCCTGGGGGTGGGAAGGAAGCAGGCAGGTTGCCTAGGGAGAGGGAGCTGAAATCTTTCCTTTGTCTCTGGGCCCATGGGCCTTGCCAGGCCCAGCCCTGCCTCCTATATCCCCCAGGGCCTGCACCCCAGGAGGGGGTCTGTCCTACAGCCCTCGGCCCACTTTCTGCCTCCCAGCTCTAACTCTGAGCTTTCTAATTCCCCTGAGGCCAACGTGTCTCAGCCGAATTTCCGTTTGCTATGCTGCCAGGCAGGCTGTGCCCTCAGAGCTAAACTTAGAGTGGGCGCCATCCTGCCCTCTTTCTTCCCCGTGCCTCAGGGTAGGTGCCGCTGATCCCCGGATGTGGGAAGATGTTGTTGCCTGCCTGGTGCTGGCCTTGGACTATATGATGGCTGCTTTTAAATCCCTGCTAGTGTGAACATTTAATAACATTTGCAAGTGCTGATTTTGTGTGTGTGTGGGCTTCTGGGGTCTTTTTGCTGAGCTATAGCCTCAGCTTTTTTTTTTTTTTTTAAATTTTTAGACAGGGTCTCATTAAATTGCCCAGGCTGGTGTTTGACTTGTGATCCTCCAGCCTCAGCCTCCCAGACTGCAGTGATTACAGGGGTATACCACCAGGCCCAGCGAATACTTTTTTACTTTGATAAAATATGAGAACCCTAAGTCTATATATAGACAAACCCCGGAATCCAGCTGAGAGTGGCAGGGGGCTAGGACTTCAGATGACAAGGGAATGGCTGCTGAGTCGCTAAGCAGTGAAGAAAGGCAAGGTGTGGGTCCCAGGACCTAGTTCCACAGGACCATGATGGGGGCAGTGGTGGAGGACAATGTGTTTTCAGTCCGCTCACAGTGCCAAAAGAGGGCTGGCGGGCTTTACTCCCAAACATGTACGCACACCTCGATATTCTAAAGAGTTGAGTTTAGGACCAAGCAAAGTAAGTCCCTTACTTCAGAGAAATAACCCTGTGGAAATAATCCAAGATGTGGTACAGGGCAAAAGTATAAATCAATGTGTGAGTGGCCTGGAGATGTTCTTGGCTGATGCTGGTCAGGCTGGTCATTAAAGGAAGCTAGGGATGCCCTGGTTATATTCAAGTCTGGGATGGGCACAGCCCCGCCCCCCTTTTCAAACACCATTCTCTTCCATGGGCCTGGTGCCCACTCACCAATGCCCTTGTTGTGTTTCCAGTCTCACGTTTTGGCTTCCTGATGGGTTCAGGAGGTAGGGAAGTTTATAGCCGTCCCTGTGCTGGTTTAGGGGATGCGCTGGGGATGTAGCGCCTCTGACTTGTTCAAGGTCAGGAGGCAGAGTGGGGCCTGCCTGGTGCTGCTAACCGGTCCTCTCTTGATCTGGCCATCCTGCCGAGCATCCTGCTGAGCAGCCTTCAGTGGGGTCTGGGGGATGAGCTGCTCTTGCATCTGACTCTCCCTGCAGCATAGCCTCATGGGTGAGATGGGGTGTGGGAGGCAGGTACCTGGGTTCTCCCAGACTTCTGGACACCCAACTGGGAGGGCTGTGTGGTGCAGAAGCCAAGCTTGCCTGTCTTCTCTGATGCCTTAACCTGGATAGGGCTCTGGACTCTGAGAAAATAATTTCTGCCAGTTTCCTTTATTTCCTCCAGGCTATGGAGGAAATGACAATGTTTTGCTCAGAGAGTCCTGAGTGTATTGGAGTTAAGTCATCCACATCAGGCAGAAACGCACAGTGTTGTGGGCCAGACCTTTAAGAAATACTGTTCTCTGTTCTGGACCGCCCTCCTCTATTTAAGGCAATCAAAGTCTTTCCCTTTTAATGTGCATCATTTATTCTCTTGAATAGCCTTTGTGTCTGGGGTTGACTAGGGTTTGGAAGGGGAAGCTTGGCCCCTGAAATCTTCTCCAGGACTGTAGTTCCTGGGCCAAGGTGAAAATGAGTACTGCAGGGGCAGCTGCTGCACTCTCTGGAGCCCTGAGGGAGTCCCTTTCCTGAGTGCTTCTCTACCTATCTCCTGAACCCTGATCGGTGGTCTGTGGGGGTCCTGGGAGGAATGAGGAGAGAGCTGGGGGCTCTCACCAGAAGGGCACCCGCTAGTGCTGGCCCCAAGCTGGAGACTGGAATTTGGTGTCTGGCTCCTGTCCCTAGGCCTCTGGGAGAAGTGAGGGCTTGGGAGGGCAGAAGCAAAAGGGAAACTGGGAGCTCCAAGGAGCACCAAGTCCTGACAGAACTGTTCTTTTGGAGAGGTGAAAAGCCGCGTCTTGTGGATGTTGTGTATGTGTTTCTGTTATGCAACCTTAGTGAGTTAACCTCTTTGAGCCTATTTCTTCCCTTGTATATTGGGTCTATAAACAGTAACTACCTTATAGGGTTACTATAAGGACTAAATGAGACATATAAAAATGCCTGTCCTATATGCAGTAAGTGCTCAGTTCCAGATTGGCCCATGGGTGAGTCATGTAACCTCTCTGAGCTACAATTTTATCATCTATAAAGTAAGAAAAAAATTGTACCTACTTTTGGCATCCTAATGAAATTTGAGTTAATATGTTTAAGTCCTTTGGTGCAGCGGTTCTCAAGGTGTGGCCCCTGCCCACCGTTTTTTCTGAGATGCCACCTATCTGGCATCAAGGAAGACTTCCGGAATCAGCAGTGCCAGGGGCTGGGCCCGGCTACCTGCACCTGTCTTCCAGGCCATTTTGATGCCCTGTCATATTTGAAAGCCACACAGCTCTGCAGCAATGTCTGGCATTCAGGAGCTGACCACAAGAATGAGAGCCAAATGTGACACTTCTTTTTTTTATTTTTGACACTGAGGTCTTGCTCTGTTGCCCAAGTTGGTCTCAAACTCTTGGCCTCAAGTTATCCTCCCATCTTAGCTTTCTGAGGAGTGAGACCACAGGTATGGCACATGCAACCATACATGGCTAAATGAGGGCTCAGTGAATTAGCTTCTCAGGAGCCTTGGGGGCAAAGTTGACTGTCTGGGGATATGAAGAGATATTTTCTTGTTTTGGTACCAGGGGATGCTGGAAATCTCTCTCTCCTTGACTTTAAAAACGTTATCTAACTTCACCTCTCATGTGGATTTAAGACGAGTGTGAGGATGAAATGTGCCAGGCCCATAGTAAATGCTCAATAAACATCAGCTATTGCTGCTATTATGGACAGTGGCAGGGGTCAGGAGTCAGTTACTGGATCATGGGGTTGATTTCTGAGCGGGGGTGGGTGGGCTGCCAGCACTCCATTTCACCTCCAAAACCAAAGAAGATTCCCCAAAGGCGAGGAGACCGCTGCCTAGAAGCGGGGCTGTTCCTAAGGGCTCTTCGGAGCTCCTTCCCTGTCATTCAAAAAGCACTGCTCAGATGCACCAAGCGTCATCACCTCCTGGGGGTAACACAGGAGGAAACTGATTTCTGATGCCGCACAAGGGAGTTAACTTAGACACCCTCGAGGACGGGAGAAGGTGCTCTTTTCCCCTAGGAGAAAGGAGAGCTGAGCGCGCATCAGGGACCCTCTTCCCCTAACGACCTTGAGGTGAGGCGCGTTTCCTTGAGGAGCGGGCGAACGGACGGGCGGAGAGCGGAAGACGCAGGAGGGGCCCGGGGCAGCCCCGCCTCGGGGGCGCGCAGGGGGCTCCGCAGACACGCTAGGAGCCGCGGGGGCGTCGCTGCGTTCCCGGGCTGAGCGGGCTGAGCGGGCTGAGCGGCCGAGCGTGGCCAGGGAGGCCGGGCTCCTGGGGATCGGGCGGGGACAGCGGCTGTGCACGCGCGCCTTCCAGTTCGTCCGAATCCATCTCCGCAGCGTGCCTCTGCTTTCCCCCTTTCTCTTCCCATGGCTCTGCTTGCTCGGGTTGCCGGTTCCAGGGTGTCCCCAAGCCCCACCCCTTATTCCAGCCCTGCCAGCCCGTCTTCCTGTTGTCGGGGTCTCCTTGGGTGGCCAGGAGAAGATGGACTCAGGTGGCCAAGTAAGGTCCAGCCCGGAGGCGTCCCTCTGCGGTTCCGTCCCCGCGTGCTGGACAGTGCGCTGATGCAGCGGCCGAGTTTCCTCTTTCCTCGGGGCCGCCGCTCTCTCCACCCCGCACCCCGAATGCGGCAAACGGGGAAGAGGCGGCCCGGTTCTAGAGAAATTCCCACGCACGCAGAAGGGCGCCCTCCCCGCTCTTCCTGGGTGCGCTTAGGGACTGGTTCCAGGTGAGGGGGCGAAGTGGGGCGGGGCGGGGCGTGCGACCTCTCCGCAAAACGACCAGATCCTCCTTTTCTTGAGTTGGGGTGACCCCTGGTGGTCATCTGGAGTGTCACGAGGGCAACTGAATTGTCCAGAGTTCAATCCTGCTGGATGAGAAGTATAGAATTATAGGGGGTGCCCCAGGCGGTGTCAAGTGCAATAAAAAGAATGGTCCTCTTGAAGCTGACGCTGAGGGTGACAGAGGCCTCCCTGCCTGACCAAAGACTCCGCAGCCTGGAGAGTCCCGTGCAGTTTTATTAAGGGAGGCCATGCCCCTTACACAGGTCTCTTCCTGCTTCCCATGTCCTTGTCGTTGGAGGTATCTGTGGGGAAGGCCACCACCATCTACGCTGTCAACGGCACCGAGATCCTGCTGCCCTGCACCTTCTCCAGCTGCTTTGGCTTCGAGAACCTCAGCTTCTCGTGGTTCTACAATAGCACGGAGACTTTCAGAGTTGTAAGTCGTGGGGAAGGCTCAGGCAGCCCAGATCCTCTCTCCCTTCTCTCTCCTTTCCCATGCATGCCTCCCAGCCCAGGTTCTGCCCCCTTCTGTCTGAGCCCCTTTGTGATGGGCCCCAGAACTCACCTTTTGTTACCCTATCTCCAAGTATTCCTTCCAGACAGGCTTTGAGTGGGAGGGATGCTTAGGTTAGGTAGTGTTGCCAGAACTTGGGGCTGCTGGAGTTCTTGGCGAGGTCCTCTTCTGGTCTTAGGAAATACCTGGAACGTTGTAATCTCAGCAGGTGGGAGGCTGAGGGAGGAGCATGGGTATGAGTTGGAGGCCAGCCTCCAAAACACAGAGCGAGACCCTGGTCTCCAACAAACAACCAAGCCAGGAACTTGGGTTGATTGTGTGAAAATTAATCGTTTAATGGAATAAACAAGAGAGAGGAAGATCATTGGGCGGGTTGGAGACAGAGTGAGAAGACTCCGAATGAGGGAAGGGTAGGGGGATTGGACTTGGAAGGAAGGAGACAGGAAGTAGGAGAGGAGCAGGGTGGCTGTAAGAGCAGCAGTGGGGTAGGGCAGGGTGGAATCAGCCAAGTGTGTACTGCGATCTCTGCAACCCAGCAGGGGTCTGCTCTCAGGTGACACAGAGAAGCCATAAGAACCCAAGATCTGCTTGGGGTGGAGTTAAAGCCAGACCTTTTAGGGTGCTGGTGGGCAGAGCCGTGGCATAGACCCAGGTCTAGGTGGAGGGCTAGAATTAAGTCAGGGAGGGGACGTGGAGTCAGAAATGCTGGGCGGAAAGTGTAGAGGGAAGCCCCTGTGGTAGTTGCAGATCACCATGTGAAAGGCGTTTATGGAGAGAGCAGTAAGGAGCATGCTGCATTTCAGGGAGACCTTGATAAAAGGAACTGGGCAAAATTCAGGTTGGACAGGTGGAGCTGTTGACATCAGCAGAGGAAATCAATGGGGGCCACACAGGCTTTTCCTAGACCCAGACAGGACAGGCACCTACAGAGGGGCTGAAGTGATGTCACGAGCTGTGACCCTCCTCTCTTTTCCCCCAGCTTATAGAGGGGAGCGTAAAGAATGAGAAGTCTGATCCCAAGCTGAAGTCAAAAGGTGATGACCGAATCACTCTGGTGGGCACCACGAAGGAGAAGCAGAACAACATATCCATTCTGCTGAGGGACCTGGAGTTCAGTGACTCGGGCAAATATACCTGTCACGTGAAGAACCCCAAGGAGAAGGACCTCGAGCACCAGGCCACCATCATCCTCCAAGTCGTTGATAAACGTATGCATGGGGACCAGGAACAGGGCAGTAGAATGGGAAGGACTTGGGGGCATCACTATACTGGTGTTTTTTTTTTTTTTTTTTTTGCTTTACACTTTCAAGAGTTACTGGAATTACACCTGGGATCTAGAGGAATTCAGTTTGAACACTTCTGCTATTGGGTAGCCTGTGAAATCCACTTAGCTCAAGACTGTAAAATGGGATGGTGGCTGCATTCATTTTGGGTTGTTGTAAGGGTTAGAGGAGTGAGCTGGGAGCAGGTGGTAGCCAACCCAAGCTCTCTCTGTGTGTATTGATCATTGCTACAGTTTGTATTTTATGTCTGAATGGTGTCATACAAACCAGTGCTATGAAAGATGCAGTGTTCTTTCTTGAGGAGTGTTCACTTCAGGGTAGGACAGAAGACACGCACAGATGACTGAAATATACCTATGTTGGTAGAGAAACCTGCAAGGGAGATGGAATGAGAGACAGTCCCTCCCTTCTGGGAACTTGTCTACTACTCGGGGATTGCAGTCTGACACAGTAGGCCAATTAGGGTGCCTGTGATAAGGAGCCAGGTGGTCACAGGACCCCCGGAGAAGCAGAGGAGGATGAGCAGGGCGGGAAGAGTTAGGTTGGGCTTTGCGCTGGGAGCAGTGGGCAGGCATCCTGGAAGGCTGGGGAAGCGCAGGAGCCAAGGAAAAGGGAGGGGGAGCTGTTCAAGGGTCTGGATCCTGCTGCCTTTTGTGTGGGTGACACAGAGCGCCTGGAGAGGAGGACGCTGGGGGTTCAGTTGTGGTCATGCTAAAACGATGTTTTTCTGAGCCTGAAGTCATCGAAGTCCCTCTGAGTATGGTGTCACCTCTTCCTATCTATCTGTGTTCCTGTCATCTTCCTTTGTGCTCAGCCTTTTAGGAGGAGGAGAAGGGAAGAGAGAATATTGGTAGATGTTTTCGGGAGCGAGGAACTGAATTAGGTGCTCTCACTCACCTAATTCCTCTGCTCCCCATAAAGTCCCTGCAAGCTCTTCTTCCCATTGTAGAGTCATTCATCCACCTGATCAACAAGTACTTACTGCGTACCTGCAAGTGGTGGATACTGTTCTAGGTGCGAGGGTGCAGGGTGAGCCAGACAGGCACATTTCTGCTTGGGGAGATTGCTCTTCTCCCCTTCTCATCAGTGAGCACTATTATTTAAAAGAAGATGCCTGTAATATTAGCACTCAGGAGACCGAGGCAGGAGGATTTTGAATTTGAGGCCAGCTTGAGCTACATAATGAGTCTGTATCAAAAAACCCAAACCCAAACCTGTTGTCAGATTATATTGTGTGAGAGAACACGGGTAGTGCTGTGGAAAACAAATAAAGCAGCAAAAGAAGATAGATGTCTGCAGGGTGGCCAGGGAAAGCTTCGCTGGAAAAAGCAACATCTGAAGGAGGTCAGACAGGAAACTGTGAGGATGTCTTTTCTTTCTTTCATGAAGATGTCTTTTGCATAGAGAAAGGCAATGCAGTTTGCATGTGGCAATTTGAGGGTCAAGTGTTCACCCAAACTGGTTGATATGAACTCCAATTCTGATCTATTCAGGAGCTTCTGTGTGAGTGGGAGGCTGTGAGTGGGGCGGGTGAGGGAACTTCATGTGCCGTAGCCTGGTGGGTGCTGTGTTCCAGCTTCCCTGCCTGCCAGCCCTTGTGCTACCCTGGTGCTGGCTCCAGGTGACCTCTGCTCTCCTCTCTCCACCCTCTCCTTCCTCCTCTGGCCACACAGTGGAAAAAGTGGACAACACGGTGACACTCATCATCCTGGGCGTGGTGGGCGGGGTCATCGGGCTCCTGGTCTTCATCCTGCTGCTGAAGAAGTTCATTGCCTTCATCCTCAAGAAGACCCGTGAGAAGAAGTGAGTTGACCTCCCGTGCACACCCTGTGTTACAGCTGAATGGGCCAATAATAGGTTCTTGGGAAAGAACTGCTAAGCCTACCCTCAGTAGCGCCTGTATTCTCGCCCAGGACATGGCAATCTCCTAAGTGTTCGTTATTTTATTTTGTACCTCTCTTAGGATCATGGAAGCAGGAATAACTGCTGGGTGCTGTTTAGAATCAGATGAGGGAAGAAGGAGACTCACCAGCTCCTTTGTTTCTAACTGTACCACCTGTGCTCCTGCCAGCCCACCACTCCTTGGCTTGTGGTCCCCTCATCCCGCCTCCTCCTGTAGGCTTCCTTCTGCCCTCTGTCCACCTGTCTTCCTAATCCCCCACTGTCTATGTTCTCCTGTGACTGGGTCCCTGTCACTCAGCTCCTCTCCTAATCTGCTTTCCTCTCCTCGCCTCCCAATACGTAGCTGTTGAGTGCACTGAGGTTGTTAGGAACCTGAGCACTGTTCACCGGTTCGTCCTTTCCGCCTCACTGGCCTCTCTTTTCATTTGTACTACCGGCCCTAAGGACTTATCAAAGTACTCAGGAAGCTTTTATTTTTGTTTAAATCCAGAAAATATGGGTCCATGTACATAAACTCTAAAATGGGAAGACCCTTCTAAGGAGATGGAAGTCTCTTACTGTGAAATTCTGAAAATTCAAGTGGGGAGATAAAAATAAAATAAAGCAAAAAAATTCAAGTGGGGAGATAAAAATAAAGTAAAGCAAAAGGCTGACATGGCCTCCCATGAAGCCCTAGGATAAGCTCAGTGGTAAAGGACTTGCCTAGTAAGCTCAAGGACCTGTTCCATCCCCAGCATCACGAAAAGTAACCATCTATAAGGGAAAGAGAGGAAAGATGGGCAGGGACAGAGGGTGCAAGCCCCAGGCCCAGAGTTTCCGGGACAGTGTCAGGCGGGCTTCAAAGCAGCAGACTGTGAATCTTACAGAGCCAGGAGAAGAAAGGAGATGAGGTGGCTGTCACTGGAGCACAAGGGCCATGGCAACTTGGGGATGCAAAGAGAAGGGCTCTCTGATCCTGCTTGCTGCCTCTGCTTTGTGGAGAGTTCCGATGCAAAGGGCAGAAACTCCCCCACGAGAAGGGAAGAAAGCTGAAGACAGGAGGGGACAGTAAGGGAGCACCTCCAGGGCAGGAGGCAGCAGGGCCCTAGGCCCTGGGCAGAGAAGAGGAACTCTAGAGGGCGTGGTCTGCCTGCCCTGTGGCCAGAGGCTATGAGTTTTGGCAGTCTTGAGAGGCACAGAACTTGCTACACAGCTAGTAAATGATAGAGCTAGGCTTTGAGCTCTGACTTACTTGGCTCCAACCCTAAAGTCATTGTTACCAGATCCTATTGACTTTTTGGGCATATCTAGAGTTCATTCATTTATTCATTTATTTGGTGGCTATTTTTGAGGTTCTGTGTGCAAGGCACTGTGCCAGATGCTGACCAGGTTTTGCTTTTAATAACCAGTCCTACTGCCAGTGTGAACAAAGCCAGAGGATACTTTTTTCAACATGCAGTTTTACAGCAGTGATCCTTCGGGTCCATCGGGCTTGCTGGGCTGGGGGTGTCAGGTTCATTAGCAGAGCAGTTGCTTGACGAGCACCCTGGGTTCTGTCCCCAGCACCACAAAACAAAAATGCGAACCAAAAGAGATGGAAAAAGAAAACAGGCCTGCTAAATGTTTTCTTGCTAGGATGCTGGTAGACCAGATTGCTACAGATAGTCTTAGTTACTTTTTCCTTGCTGAGACACAATACCCTGACACACAACACTTGAGGCCCACAATTTAAAGGAGGAAAGGTTTATTGTGGTGCAGTTTCTAGAGGCTTCGGTCCTCAGGCTGGCGACATGGCAGAGGGGGAACTGCTCATGGTATGGTGGTTCGAAGAAGAAAGAGATCAAGGGATGAGGTTGAGGACAGACCCTCCCAGGCCACGCCTCCGGTGCCCCTCCTCCTCCACCAGGCTTCACCGCCAAACACCACAATTAGCATAAACTCTTCAGTGACTGACCCACTGATGGGTATCCCATAGCCATGATCCAGTCACTTTCCCAAGTCCCGCCCCATGACGCTTTGGGGTGACAGCCAAATATCAACCGTAACAATAACTGTTCTTGGCATTTACTGACTGCTTACCGTGCTTTCTGTACTCCACCATGCATTTTTATACAATATTTCCATTTTTGCTTTCCAGCAGAGCAAAGTGGGACTCAGTATGGTTGAAGGCTAGTAAATGATACAGCTAGGATTAGAACTCTGACTGATTTGGCTTCAGCCCTGAAACCACTGCCACCATATCCTATTGACTCACTGGGCAGATCTAGTAGAGCGCATTCATTCATTTAGTGGCAAAGCGCCGTGCTGGGTGCTGTGGGGCAGTCTGAAAGGCATAGCATTTTGCCCTTCAGTAAAGGAGACAGATGTAGTGCAAGGGCTCAGTTCCTGCGAAAAGGCATGATAAAATGCTGCTACAGAAGTGATATTGGTTCCGCTGGGTCCTCATGGTGGGTGTTACTTCATCGCTGAGGAGAGGGAGAGGGCAGTGTTCCCCGTGGAGGAAGCTGAGAGCGAGGCAGAGGGTCTGGGCAGTGGGCATGTGGAGAACAAGGCCTCTTTGTAACAGTGGGGGTGTGGGGACAGGAGGAAGAAAAGCCTGCAAAGGCACTGGGGACAGACCGTTGGGGACCTGGGAGCCCAGGCTGCATGTGGCTTTCCATCTGGCTGCAGGAAGCTGGGGAGGAATTTCAGGGCCCTGGCATGATCAGCAAGTCTGCCTTGGGGGCACAGGGCCTGGAGGGGAGAGGGTGGGGCAGGGGACAGGCCCGGGGGGAGCCTGAGGGTGTCCCTTGAGCACTGTGGGAAGCCTGCATTACAGCAAAAGGCAGGAGACCCAGCCTGGGCCCTGCCGTGGAGGAGAAGAAGACTACATTGGAGCCCAGGCAGCCAGGGCAGTCAAGGTGATGTGGCTCCTGGGAGGTGCCCTCCCATCTGCCTCTCCGTCCTCTGCCTCTGCCCTCTCCCACCACCCTCTGCCCAGATGTGCCACCTTGATGCCTATTTGCTGCCTGCTCCCCCTCTATGACCCTCACTCTCTTACCTCTGGTTCACCAGGCCCTGCAGGGAGGAGCTCTGTCACCTCAGCGTGCTCCTTGCTGGCCTGCACCTTCCCTCTTGGGTGGCACAGCCTGGACCTGGCCTCTGGGAGCTGTGCCCAGTGTCCCTTTGCCTCTGGCATGTTGAGACAACCAGGTGACCGTTAAGCCTTAGTGAGTCTTTTCTCCATGCCAGCACCCTTCTAAACGCCCTTACCCTCATGGCAGCCCCACGAAGATGGTGTCATGGTTATGTCTGCTTTATAGTTGAGGAAATGTTAGGTGACTTGGTCTTTTGCTGGAGAGTGGGTTCAGAGCTGGACCACATCTTCCTCCCCAGTCCATCCCTTACTTTCCTCAACCATGTCTTTCTCTCTCCCTCTCCAGGAAAGAGTGTCTCGTGAGTTCCTCAGGAAACGACAACACAGAGAACGGCTTGCCAGGCTCTAAGGCGGAAGAGAAGCCACCCACAAAAGTGTGAGGCCCTACTTTGGGCCGAGCAGCGCAGGGAGCCTCGCTTTCTGACCATGACACTGACGCTTGAGCCCTGTCTGTAGAACCCATGTGCCTGAGACATCTGCTGCTTGGCTCAAACTGTAGTCTTTCTGGGCAGGGAGAAACTGGGGACCTGTCTGGCCTGCCCCACCCCCCTCCCCAGCCAGGGCTTCCCAAGGACAAGGGCTGACCAGGGGATGGGGCCTACGGAAGTCAGAGAAGGAAAGGAGGGTTTGAGATGGTTTTGAGGGGCTGGTCCCCCAACACCTAGCAAATGGGTTTTTCTCAGGTTCCTCATCCTGAGTGAACCCAGCTGTGGTTTTCTTTCTATTTTTCCTGCAAGAGGGACCTGGGGGATCAGTTGGTCCTTGGACGTGGGGTGAAGGAAGAGCCTTATGCGGAGAGGGAAACTCTTCTGATGGTGAGAACTGTGCCAGAGGACTCTGGAGCAGACCTGGTGGCAGGAGCTGCTGGAGGTGGGGCACCGTGAGAGGCAAGCTGGGCTTCGTGCGATCCCTGGTCTCCACAGTCCCTCAAGTGGGGAGTTTCCCTTTCTGTCAGCTGGAGTGCCTCCGCCTTGTCCCATTGCCCTTCCCTGCCTCTTCCTCTGAGTTTCCAAGCCCTCCTTCCCAGACAGGCCTGGCTGCCTTGGTCTTGAGTGATCCTGGCCCACATTGCCAACCCTTCTGCCCTCTGGGTTGCTGAGGGGCTCGTGGAGGGGCCCCTCATCCTTTCTGGAGCACTCAAGTGCTCCCTATGCCTTTTCTTAGGATTTCGTCTTGGGGAATGGGGCTGCAGAGGTGGGTAAGCCAGAATCCTGGGCCTTTTGGTCATTGGGATGCCCACCCCAGGGCCCCAGGGCTCGCAGTACTCTCCTTGGCATTGCAGGACCATTGCCATCCAGGGCACTCCTGAGCCTGGCTCCCTGTTCTCTCTCTTCCCTTGAAACACCGGGGGATGTCATCCTGCTGGAGGGGCTGCAGCTTCTTCTCTCCCTGCCGCCATGCCCTCCCATTGGCTTGCTCTTCTGGTGCCGCTCTACCGCGCCTTTGCCCCTGTGCCTGGGGTAGTGCATCCCCCAGCCCTGTGTTTGCCTTTGCCTCAGGGACCCTCTTCCTTGGACGAGAAAGCCCTTAGGTTTTCTGGCTGCTTCTTGCTCAGCAGGCTCCCCTTTTGTTATTCTGGGTTTTGGGAGGAGCAGGGAGAAGGGACCCACACTTTCTCTCTGCTTGCTGCAGCACTGGTTTGCACACCCCTTGAGTGTGGGGCTAGACCGTGCCTTAGCTCCTTGAGTCCCAGCTCTTGCCCTCCCTCCCTCCCTCCCTCCCTTTCCAACCCATCATCCCTGACCTAACTGCACAACGGGATGTGGCAGGGGTTTCCCAGCCTTCCCCTTCCCAAGGTTGTGGAGGAGGCCACGGAGTTGTGTTACTGACAGCCCCTTGGCCAGGGACTGAAGCTTGGAGACGCCTGCCAAGTGCTTCCATCCGGGACCCTGATAGGCAGATGTGAGAGTGTTGGAAGGGGGGTCTCCCGATGGGTCTGATTATGTGGGTCTGTGTGGGAGATGCAGTAATGGCGTCCCTGCCATGTGCTCCCATGCCCTTGCTCCCATATAGGATTTCCTATTGGACATTGTCCTCTGGGCACCAAGGATGGATGGAGAGAGGGAGCCTTCTTTTCCAGAGGGTTTGGGGACTGCTCCAGGGCCCTCCTTCCCAAGATGCAGCTTCAACTTCTCTGAGTGTGGAAGTTGGGGGAGTCTGAGGAACAGTAGTGTTCTCATGGCTGTGGCCATGTTTCTTGGTCAAGCTGGTGGGCTCGCAAATCCCCTCTGCCATCTGCCTCCTCCCCTCCTGTCCTTTACCCCAAACCCATCCCAGCCTGGGGTTCAGATTTCCCCGGCTTTGGGAGCAGAAAAACCAGAGCCCTCAGCCATTCAGAAAACTTCTAGCTGCCTTCATGCAAAACTGCTTTCTTCTCCCTTCTCAGTTGAAGAGACAGATTGTTGCAGGGCTCCTGCTCTAGTGAGAGGTCCCCAAGGCCTGTGGAACAAGAGAGGAAGTGGGGCATCCTCTTCTCTTTCCCAGCTTACTGATAACTTCGAGGTGGGCCATGCAGCTTCTCTGGGCTCAGCTTTTGCCACCTAGCCGAAGGGTATAATAATACTTACCTACCTCACCTGACTGTCGTGAGGCTTGGCGAGTTTTCTGTTAAATTTTGGCTGGGAAAAGCATCTAGGAAGCAGGATTTATAATAAGAGACGTTGTTCCAAGTTGGTCTCATCCTCACCTCTGCGTCTCTTCCTTACAAAAAAACACACATGCATGCCCACACGCACGTCCCATTTTTCCCCTTTGGAATTCCTCAGTCTTTACAATGTTAAAAACCTTGACTCCAACTCATGCTTAAAGCTTCTTGTTTGTGGCTCTTGTTTGGTGGTTTTCAAAAGAGGTGATTGGGACTGTAGAGGGGGTATTTTGGTTGCTTCAATGCCTTTAGGATGTAGTGGGTGGGGACTAGGAGTACTAAACTTAGTTCTCACAACAGAGAACGTCCTGTCCCGATGCCAGCATCATGCCCATGGAAAACTGTTGCCATGGATTTGCAACAGGTTGTAGAGTTGACAAAGCCATTTTCCCCAAGCAGACTCTTTGAGCACACCAGTTTCTGATGATGGTCTCCAACCTGGGGAGGGAGTTTTCAGAGTTGTTGGGCTAGGGAGGGCCATCTCTAGAGTTGGTCTTGGAAGCTCAGGGCACACGCAGCTGCTCTGACAATGACACCAGTGAGACCAAGGAGAAAGTTCAAAGTACCTCATCCTTGACCTCAAAATAGGACATCTGCATGTGAGGCTGGGAGTTTCTCCCTCTGTAGGAACTGAGCAGAAGGCAGCCAGAATGAACCTGTAATGCTAGAGAGGCCTGGGAGAGGGACTGCTGGGGCAGAGACTTTCCATGCATCTGCTGGCCAATTCTTGTGGAGCCAGGGGTGTGAGGGGTGTGAGGAGGTGAGGGTGTGTTGTATAGTGCACATGTGCTGTGTGCATATGGACATGCATGCCAGGTGCAGAGGTGTGACTGTGGAGTGAGGGGACTTCATGATGGGAGAGAGTGCACATTTCAGAAACCATCATCCCTGGCTTGAACTACAGCTTGAGGGAGGAAAGAGACAGAGGGGAACACTGGCCATGGTGCAGGATTCATCTTTCTGTGACGCCATCTCACTGTTACAGACAGCTGCCGTTGCAGGGCTGGGGAGAGGATGTGCTGAAAGGAGGGACTTCCGGGGAAAGTCCTATAGCTTGCTGCACCTTACACTGTCCCAGGTTGGAGTCCCTGCCTTCCCACCTCCCACCTGATATGCAGTGCTTTTGACTATCTTATATATGATTTATTCCTCTGGCTTGAATGACAATACCCATAGTCAACTTTCCCATATAACTATAGATCAAATGATATAGTGATGGGCCTTAGGAGGCCTCAGGTCTGTGGGTGCCTCTGGGAGGTACAGATGCGCACACACCTAGCACTGACCTGTATTCAAGCACAGAATGGATGTGATCAAACTATCTTGCCTCTACAACATGTTTTGCATTGTAGAATTGTATTTAGCTTGCTCTGGATGAAATAAAAATTATATTTAATAATTTAGGGCTTGGGGTTTCTTTTTTGAATAAATGGGAGTTGAGCGGCAGCTATATAGCTGGTAGGGAGTTCCTGCCAGCTATAACTGAGACAAATTTACCTTTTCTGATCCTGAGTCCGCTTGTGTCTAAAATGTTACTTGCCTAGGCAAGACACGTATGTAAAATGCCTAGGAGTTTCTGGCATCCTCACCAGCAGATACACATGTAAAATGCCTAGGAGGTTCTGGCATACTCACCAGCATTCAGATTGTTTTAGTTTTGGTACCACCTCTGGAGAAGTTGGAAAGGTAGCCCTTTAGTATTAGAATCAATACTAGAATCAATTAGAATCCGCACATTCATGACCCTTGGTAATGGTTCCAGTACCACCAAATGCCGTACCTCTCCCAAGCTCCACCCCGCCGGCCCTCCTTCCCAGCTTAGCATTTATATCCAGGAAAAATCTGCTTCAAATGAATGCCTGACTCCAGAAAGGGGTTTCCAGCTGCTGGGGATTCTAGGCTGGAAGGATTTGGAGACATAATTATGATGACTATGTCCCATGACCCCCCACTCCATCCTCATGGATGCCTGAAACTGCAGAAAGTATTGATCTCTATATATTCTATGCTTTTTCCTATATACAACACACCTATGATAAATTTAATATGTAAGTTTGGCAAGTAAGAGATTAATGGCAATAACTAATGATTAGAACAATTATAACAATACATTGTAATAAATGTTACATAAATGTGTTTTCTCTCTCTTTCTCTCTGCTCTCTTTGTTTTTTTGAGACAGGGTTTCGCTATGTAATTCAGGCTGGCTTGAATTCAATATGTAGCACAGCCTGACCTTGAATTTATTGTGATCTCCTGCTTCAGCCTCCTAAGTACTGGAATTACAGGTGTATACCACTACACATGGCTGGTTTCTCTCTCTCAAACGCTAGTATTTTCAGACTCTAGGCAAATATTAATAGTTTGAACGTGGGTAAGTGAGACCATGGACTGTGACATCAGACAGACAAGGGAGACTATTGTATTAGCATGTGTGTGTGTGTGTGTGTGTGTGTGTGTGTGTTTGCTTATATCACTGGGATTTATAATACCACAATTTCTCATCATACCATATTCCTCTCTTCAATGGATTCACCTCAGATTGTATTTCAAATGGTTCCAGACACTAAGTTCTCAAATGTTAAAAGACTGTCCCTTCTATGTGAAGGACCCAGGAAGGCAGAGGGCCCTGAGGCTCTGCATCCCAGTGTCTGTCCTAGTCAGTATTGCTTTCTCAAGCCCTCAGCTGCAGTCACCGTGCTCTGAGCTCACATGCTGAATGGATCCATCACTTGGGTTCTCCATGCTTCCCTGCCTTTATGATTTAGATCTAAACTATGCCCCAAAATCTCCTGGTAGGAGGATCTGGTTGAAGGAGCTGGTCCCCGGAGCCATGACTTGGCAGGGAGTCTTCTCCTCCTTCCCCGTCCCTTCCCTCTCTGCTTCTCTACCCTGCTTTTCCTACCATAGTGTTCTGACATGTTTCTGCCTTGGGGCCGACCAGGGACTGAATCTATTGAAAATGTGAGACGAAATAAACCTCTCCTCCTTGGAGTTGTGGGTGTGAGGTATTGTCCCAGCGACAAGAAAGTGACTAATACCCCTATTTTTAGGTATTTCTTGTTGTTTGGGACCTCCTTCCACCTTCCTACTTGCTATATATCTGATAGTCATTAAAGTTTCCTGGGCCAAGCCTGAGTTTGCAGTACCCCTGGAATGCTGTGCATTGAACTTGCAGTCACCTCTGTAAGGATCAGTCCAAGGCCTGGTTAGGCCCCCACCATTACTCTGTTTCATCTCCACTGCCTTTCTACACCCAGTAGTGCTAACTGACAGATGACCCAATGTCTGAGAACAAAATCAGCCATTAGGACTACGACGGGCAAGCCTGGAAATGGGGTCACCCTGTGTAGCCCCTTCCCAGCCCCGCACTGACTAACCAGGACTAAAATACACATAAATTAAGTGGTTTTATCTGAGATGGTGGTGAGTATACAGATCTGATAGGTCTGTAAACTTGAAAATGAGCATAAAAGTGTAAACATGTGCTTAGGCGGCCTTTCAGAAGGGCCTGTGTACAAAAGCTGGGACTTATCTTCCATGTGTCTGCAGCGGTGTCCAGAAAACAGATTGTCTCTTCCCCTCTTCCTTTCCCAAGCCTGCTCTCTCCCTTTACTGCTTCCTCTCCCAGGGACCACTGAGAGACCACCGAGTTGCTACGCATGACAGAGATGTGATCTTTTCTAACCCGAAAGGGCCTAAATATTTGCTTCCAAATAAACAGAAAAGATTTCTTTCTTTCTTTCTTTTTTTTTTGTCAGAGTAAAACTTTATTTCTAGCTGTCCTCTTTGGAAATCATCATTTATATTTATAGTTGATACTTTTGCTACCAAGTAGCAAACTATTTTTTATGCCTACCACAGAACATCCCCAGCCCCATAAGTATTATAGCTGATAATCTTTTATACTAAAGTACATATCAACGTCTTAAGAACTTACTAAAAATAGGCAACTGCTTTTAATTAGCTGGAAAGTACTAGGTTTTCTAAGAGGAAACTACTTTTTATTTTTATTTCCAAAAAAAGCTGGTCTATATTAAGGTAGTTTTTGCTGTTGAGTTTTTTGGTGGTACTGGGGATAGAACCCAGGTGTGCTCTACTACTAGCTTCATTCCCAGCCTTCTTCGTGTGTTTTCTGTTTTGAGAGTCTTAAAAAGTTGTTCAGACTGGCTGCAACCTTGTGATTCTCCCAAATACTTGAGGTCACAGGTGTGTGTGGTATCACAGCCAGCTTAAGCTCGTTTTAATAAGAAAGAAGCTGAACATTACATTTACAGATCCTATGATAGCTCTAAGACAGAGACACCACTAAACTCAACTCCAGGGCCTCTGTTCCCATGTCTAAAGAAAGCTGCTCTGTCATAGCTTTTTTTTCTTTTAGACAGGGTCTTGCTATGTAGTTCTGGAAGGCCTTGAACTCACAACAATCCTCCTCAGCCTTCTGCATGCTGGGATTAGAGGGGTGCGCCACCACGCCTGGCATGACTTTTATTTTAGAAACTCGCTGCTGATGGTACTATATTTACTGTAACTTATTTTAATTATTAGAAGGTAATTTATGTACTATATGTAAGTATATTATAAAATTTTCATTGTATCTCTCCACATTTTTTTATTTTACAACATTTCAGTTGGGTGGAGGAAGACTGGAATTGCCTCCTTTTAAGATTTCGATAAAGCTCATAGTGTGTTAATACACACGGAAACAAGCAGACATATACTGAAAAGGGACCATGAGGGAGGAACAACAATTACAGGGGGAGCTCTACGAGAATGTAAAATGAGAGTGCAGCACTTTGGATGCCCCAACCACACCACACACAGAACTCTTGAGTCAGGTTCTTTACTTGCTGACCGTCTGGCTACAGTTCAAACACTTATAGCCCCGAAAGTTGTAACTAGTAACCTTCCAAACTAGCTTTTAAATTAAGTTCTTAAACTGTAGCAATAAACAAAACACAATACATGTAAACAATACTGCAGTTTATAAAAAAACACATTTAAGAAAAACTCATACTTTGAGAGTTATATAAAATGTTTTGACTAAGTTATAAATGTTTATCATGTAATTATTTGCATAACTAGTAATACTTATCAGTAGCTATAAGGTCAGAATTTTTTTAAAAAAACCACAAAAACATAAAAATACATGGTCCCATTATTTACCTGTAGAACATGTTCTTTTATGACTATATTTCAGCATTTGCGATATCATCATTGTTCTCATTTTAAAAGTTACATCCAAAAGATATATCAAACAAATATCAACTCCAGACAAATATCAGCTCTGCTATACAAAAACCAGAAGATAATCTGCTTTGCAATTAACTGTATAGTTCAACTGCATACAGGCAATATGCTATATATGAAAAAACTACTAACTGAACTACAAGTATTAAATACTGAAAAATTAACAGTTTGTTGTGATTTATTTTATTTAGCAATCTAGGAAGTTTGCAGCCATCAGCAGTTCCAGTGCTATCTTGGGTGCGATGGGAAATTCAGGAATCTTGGTGGAGCTGTTAGTGTAGCGAACTTTGCAGGTGAAACACATGCAGACTTTCGAAATGAAATTGACCTCATTGGTTTTGTTTTCAGCAAACTGACTGGGACCACTCAACGTGGCTTTTATTGTTCCTGATGTTAGTGCATATTCTCTTTTTACAATAAATTCATGACCACCAGAGGATATCAATTTGACATACATATCATCAGGGCCTTCACAGCCAGCATAGGTTTTCTCCTCTCCATCCATTATGTTCTTATGAAATTCTATTTTGGTTCCACAGGAACTTTAGTAGTTTCTCATCCACACCACAGCGACCGCAGCCAAGTCCTTTCCAAGTGGCTCAAACCCAGCCAAAAAGATTCCTTTTGAAAGGCCCTTTGGACTCCATTTTCTTTTTCCTCTCTAAATCCTGTAATTGGCCAGTTCCCTGAATTCACCACCACAGAGTGGATGAGGTTAACTCTCGGTGGAGACCAACCCTTGCATTGTATGTTCAGCTTTCCAGGAGGCTGGTGACCTCTGTGCAAATGTGGATGCTGAGCAGAAGAGGCAATCTGCTCCCAAAAGGTGGGCAGGTACCAGTAAGAAGTCTGCATGGTAGAAGGAAGTGACGGGCAGGTGGGCTCATCCGAGTCATGGGAAGGGAGATCCCTGGGCTCTGACATTCAGCTCCACACTGGAGGCCAAAAGAGGGCCAACGAAGAAGTGCTCAAGCAAAAGGCAGAGAGAAGTCTTCATGGCTAAGGTAGCCAGGAGTATTAAGAACACCGTAGCCATTGTTAAGTGTCAGTTTTTGGTGAGGTTCTTGGTGACCCCAGCGAGTCCAGCAATTAGAATGGTCACCAAGTGGAGGCGGTGGCAGAGGCTTCATCCCAGCATTCAGAAAGGTCAGTG